TGTCCTTTTGATGGGTGCTCTGATCAGACGCACCCCTCTCCCAGAGCTGTATCCAGCTGTCCTTTTGATGGGTGCTCTGATGAGACGCACCCCTCTCCCAGAGCTGTATCCTGCTGTCCTTTTGATGGGTGCTCTGATCAGACGCACCCTTCTCCCAGAGCTGTATCCAGCTGTCTTTTTGATGGGTGTTCTGATCAGACGCACCCCTCTCCCAGAGCTGTATCCTGCTGTCCTTTTGATGGGTGCCCTTTCTTGCCCCAGGCCTGTGTGGTCAGGACATGTGTCGCAAAATACAGGGACACTCACTGCAGGGGCAGTCATTCAAAGAATCGTAGTCTTGTTGTTGATGATGTCATCGCTACTCTTCTCATTGGGAATAGTGGATGTGGCCTGGCTTTGCTACAGGGACACGCAGAGATAGCAGAGAACCACAGATCTGTAGGGGGAGAGAGAAGAACTGTGTTTTCTGAAAATAAATCTTCTGCAACCTTTGTCTGATCACTCCTATAGCCCTTATTGTTCCGCACCCCCTCTAAGCTTGCCTTGTTTCCTAAATGACCGTAAGCACACATGCAGGCCTTTGTAATGCCTGCCAGGGCTGCAAAACTCACTCTTATGCTTCACTACCCAGTTTTCAGGGCCTACTCTTGAGCTCACATTATTTGGCACTCGTATCTCTGTAATAGTGCCTACCACATGGGGTTAGAATTAGTCTATTTACAAGTGTATCGTCCCCCCAGCACTTGGCACATGTGAGAAGTAATCAATGTATGTTTGCAAAATGAGAAGTCTGAGAGCGATTTTTTGCTACCCACGGTGCCCAGCAGGGGTAAAGGTCATCAACTTGAGTTGATAGAGGGGAAAGGCTATTGGAAGCAGAGGGTATTGGCCTGTGTTTCTGCTACTTGTGTAAGAGAAGAGAGCCCCAGATTATGATGCTTAGAAGAGGTGAGAGACAGTAAGAACCTTTTCTCCCTGGATTGACACCCTGGTGATATGATTGAATAAGCATAAGACTTGCTAACTGCTTGGTCAGCAGTTCAAATCCACCAGTTGCTCTCTGGGAGGAAGCTGTCTGCTCCCATTAAGACTGACATTCTCAGACACCCCTGGTAAGGGTTGCTGTGAGTCAGAATCAACTCACTGGCAGTGAGTTTGAGGTTTTTCCTCCCTGGAAGCCTAATTGGGCAGTAGCAGGGTGTGATGTGGTTGTCAGTCCAGGAATATTCTTCCTGAGGTGATAACCCAGGATGCTGTGGACGTGTGTGCATGGTGACCTCTCGCTGAGAGACATTTTCAGCCAGTCACTTTTCTTTTTTCTTTTTCAGATCGTCTGGTAGAATCAACTTCTTTGCGAAAAGCTGTTGAAACAGTGTATGCCGCATATTTGCCCAAAAACACACACCCATTCCTCTACCTAAGGTAACACAGCACCGAACTCTTCATCTGAGACTCAGGGAGCTGAGGGCCGGTCCTCCAGGATCTTTTCTTCTAAGGAGGGGCCTGTTGACACCTCGGTCTCAATGAGCACTGCGTGCCGCCCACCAGGGATGTCCTGTCCCTTCTCCCAGGTCAAGGGTGTTGGCTTTCCACATTTGACCCCTCAGTAGCAGAGCCTCACTGAGGGCTTCCCAGGTACTGGCCCCAAGTGGGCATTATAAAGGTGAATGATGCTTCTCCACCTTTCAGGAGCCAACCAAGTAGAGTCAGCAACTTGTGAGCTGTTCAGAGACACAGGTGTGCTCAGGAGCCTCTGAGCACTAACTACTCTTCCACGTCAACCCGGGGAAGCGGAAACAGCTCCAGGGGTGTGTTTTTCCTTCCCTGCGGGAAAGGCAGCTCTCTGGAGCCGTTCACCTGTCAGCTGCTCCATGTTTCCTCTAAGCCCGAGCTTCCCAAACTTGGCTCGTCATTGGAGTCACTGGGGGCACCACTTGCAACCTGAAGGATTAGAATTTCTAAGGTAAGGTGACCAGATTTTAACATTGGTAAAGCGGGACACCATTGATAAAACTCATATTCTGGCAAAGTAGCCACATGGCAGCTGAAAACCGTATACCCTAGCTTGTCGTGCATTCTTTCCAAAAATCGGGAATTTTTAAAAACGCCATGGGATGCAGGAAAAATTGTTTAAAATCGGGACTGTCCCGCCAAAAGCGGAGCGTCTGGTCACCTTATTCTAAGGGAAGCAGCCCAGGGAGCTGTAGCTTTCCCAGGTGTGCAGGTGTTTCTAATGATCAGCTAAGTTTGAGAAGCAAGGCAATCAATACCAACCAGGCCTCACAGGTATTTGAAATACAGAATGTTAAGTTCCCCTGCCCTAAAGAAACTTAGATTCTAGGAACTGGTTTATGGGGCGGAGGTGTCTCATTTCATCGTTTCTAGCTCACCCAATAGTGCGTCCATTTAACACCCTTAGCTTTTATTACAGTGGGATGAGCTCACACTCTGTAACAGGGTTCTATTGTATACGGCATGGGCGATAATACTAAAATGTCTCAAGTCTGGAACCTCTGCCCTCTGAATAGAAATTACTGTGTTCGAAAGTTAATTTATTTTTCTAACTTTGATTGAAATAGAGGGTAAAAATAGGCTTTAAGGGATAAAATTGTTTTATTGGTTAAATGTACAATTGTTGAATCCCTCTTGTTTTCTGCTAGATAATATAATAGGCAAATTACTACTTGTTCAGTCTCTTTTAATCAATAGCCGAAACATTCAGCCATTTGAACAGAGGAAGTTTAATGTAAAGAAATATTTACCAGGAATTGGACTTATGGAGACTGGCTAGTGGGAGGGAAAGAGACAGAAATAGCCCCTAAGGAAAAAAAAAAAAAGAAATAGCCCCTAAGAGGGAGCAACCATTGATTGCCCTTAGAACTTAGGTCAAGCACCAGAGGAAACTAACTCTTCATCCCCTCACCTGTTGAGGGGTACAGCTGCGGCCCCGAGTGGTGGAGAGATGGATGAAGTGCTCCACGAATGGTTCTCGCTCCGGAAGAAGTGACAGGGAACGAGACATGGCCCTGGGCCAGGGGCTGTACAGTGCCGCAAAAGACCCCACACTTCTCAGAAACCTGTCCTTCCTCTACTGACAGTGCTTCACATTGCCAAGCTCCATTACCCCAAAGATAGATTTAGAGTTGAGAGACAACAAATTGATTAACTTTCGTATTACACTTCAATGATATAAAGTTCTGTCACGTATATTTTTTGCTTGCTCCTTGTATCAGTAAGCCAAGTAAGAAAAGCAAGTATAGGACAAGTTTAAGGTTACCCTTCCTTTAGAGTTCAGAAAACGGATCCAGAGAAGTAAATTGCATCATGTGACATAAGAAGACACTCCACCAGTTCTGAAATGATAGCATTAGCTGAGAATGAATCTCCCAGGTACCTGCAAGTACTTTACATGAATTTAACCCTGCCATGAACTGTGAGATAGGCAACACGATTAACTCTACAGGAAAGGAAATGGAGGCCAAGGAAGATAATATAACTTGCCCAAAGCTACACAGCTCATAGTACCAGAGCCAACATTTGAATCTAGTCACTCTGCCTTGACCTTGAGGTTTTGACTGCCATGTCCTGTGGCCTCTCCAAGTCTCCTGGCAACCACATACTAATGGCTATGTATGGACTGATTTTGCCTTCTACCACCATTTAAAGTCATTGTTCACATTTTTTTCCATGCCCCCAGTTTAGAAATCAGCCCCCAGAATGTGGATGTGAATGTGCACCCCACAAAGCATGAAGTGCACTTTCTGCATGAGGACAGCATCCTGGAGCGGGTGCAGCAGCATATTGAGAGCAAGCTCCTGGGCGCCAACTCCTCCAGGATATACTTCACCCAGGTGAGTTCACCTCCCTGCTGTGAACCCAGTGCCTGTGCCCCATCAGAATGAGGGGCCCACATGTTAGCCCGCAGCTTTACAACTCCCTGTACTTTGATAGCTTTCTCTGAACAGTGTTTTCTTCTTTGATCCTAACTGCGAAGGTATTAAACTGTTACTCAGGGCCCAGAGTTATAAGACTGAAGTCCTCTTTACTTTGCCTTTACCTGGGACCTTTCAAAAACCAACTTCAGAGGAATAGGGCTTTTTAAAAATGCATTTTCTTCCACTGTCGGTGTTCGGGAAGAAATTGGTCCCATGTACCCAGGGCAGACTGGAGGGGCAGTGCCCTGGGGCAGCACAGGCAGGGTGAGAAGTAGCTTTAGTGGCAGACATCCCTGGGCTGCTGGCTGTGTGACTAACCTTCTCTGTCTCAGTTTTCTAGTGCTGCCATCACAAAATACCACCATGAGGGCGGCTTCCAAGAACATTCCATTCTAAATGTGAGGCCTTACAGTTTTAGGGGTTACAAACCCAAATTCACAGGGTGGGCAGGGTCATGCTCTTTGTGGGCTTTAGAGGAGGATGCTTCCTAGTCTCCTCCGACTTCCGTGGTTGTGTTTGAGGGCCATAGGAATGTCCTCTGTGTGAAATGTCTGTTCCAGTCTTTTGCCCATTCATGACTGGGTTGTCTTGCTGTTGTTGTCAACGTTTTTGTGTATATTTGGATTATTAGGTTCTTGTCAGCTATAGGAGTTCTGAAGATATTTTCCCAGTTGGTAACCAGTCTTGGCACTTCTTTGAAACAGTGTTTTAATGAAGTAAACTCTTAACTTTCAAGAGGTCTCATTTATCTTGTCTTTTGCTATTTGTGTTTTTGTTATTATGTTAGATAATCCATTGTTAAAACCTAGCACTGCCAGCCTACCATTTCTTCCAAGAGTTTGTTGCGATTAGCTTGCACATTTAGGTCCTTGGTTCACTTCACATGTGTTTTTGTGTGTGTTGTGAGGCATGTGTCTTATTTCATCTGCATGTAGAAATCTAATTTTCTTGGCATCACTTATTAAAAAGACTCTTTATTCACATTAAATGGACTTAGCACCTTGTCAAAAACCAGGTGACCACAGAAGTGTTGGCTTAGTTCTGGACTCTCAATGCTAGTCCATTAATCTGCTTGTTTATTGCTATGCCAGAACTAGACTGTTTTGATTATTGCAGCTGTATTGGTTATTTTAAAATCAGGAAATGTGAGTTTGTTCTTTTCTTTCCAGTGCTTTAGCTAGTCAAGGCCTCTTGCCATTCTATATTGATCTAAGGATTGGTTTTTCTATTTCTGTAATGAAGACTGTTGGAATTTTGTTCATGATTATATTGAATCTTTAGATCGCTTTGGGTAATATTGACATTTTGCCAATATTGTCTTCAATCTGTGAACCAGGAACTTCTTTTCTTTTCTTTAAGTTTCCTTTCATCTCTTTCAGCAGTATTTTATAGTTCTCATTGTATAAATCCTTCACATTTCAGGCTAGATATATTCCTAAGTATTTTATTCTCTTAAAGGTTAATTGTAAATGAAATTGTTGCCCTAATTTCTCTTTCATATTTCTCGTTGCTGGAGTAGAGAAACCCAACTCATTTTCATTTTTTGACCTTGTACCCCAAACTTGACTGAATTTTTCTATTAGCTCTAGATACTTTCTTATGAACTCTTAGTGATTTTCTACATATAGAATCATGTAAAAACTAGAACAACTTTAAAATGGGTTAAAAGGGAGGACAAATGATACGGTATAAATTTTAACTTAACTGCATCTGCATAAATCCACCTTCCAGTGCACTCTTTCTGATAGCAAGGCTATTCAAATTCTTGCTCAGTGGTCAGAGGGGAATCACAAGAGACTTAAGGCATGTAGGGACCCCAAAAGTGGATTTTGGGTTTTCATTGTCATCCATAGCCTTCTGCAAACCAGGTTCCCAGAATTTAAGCTCTAATTACAGATTCCTCCTCCAGTCTTGAATTTCATTATTTACAATCATTGGATCACACAGACTCATTTGCTTCCTCTATGTGGGCTTAGCTGACACTTTGCTTAGATAACTAAGTTTTAAGACACGCCTCATAATACCACCGAAATTATTCTTTCCAATAGCCTGGCACCATCTGGTTTCTTCACAGTTTTCTATTGCACCTAATCTTCAGTGATCTCTTCATAAGGACGCATATCAAGTAAAGCCACATCATAATAACTAATTATGCTTAGATTAGGGGTACAATTAAGTGTGAACTCAAAATCCATTCATATACCTATGGTTTATATATGCCCCTGGTCCACTTTAGAGACATCATTATCATTATATTGGGAATATTATACGAAGGGGAACCCCTCCAAAATGGAATTTTATTTATTTTCAAACATATGTATTTAAATTGTTTTACAAAACAACCTTATCACTTTCAAAGTACTCTCTATTACATTTAATACATTTGTCAAATCTGCGATTCCATTCTTGGAAACATTTCTCAAACTCAATCTGCTTGGATGGCTGACAGTACCTCCCTCGTTTTCTTCTTTACTTCTACATTGTCCAATCACTGTCCTTTCATTCCCTCTGCATTCGAGGGAAGTCACACAAAGCAGGGTCAGGTGAGTAAGGTGTGTGGGGCAAGAGAAGGCTTGCCAAAAACTGGCACACTGAGAAGGCTGCATGAACAGCTGCATTGTTGTGGTGGCAAAACCAGTCCCCCATCTGCCACAAATCAGGCTTTTTTTTGTCGCACACTGTTAAGCAATTTTTTTCTGAATCTTTAAATCAAAAGTTTGATTAACAGTCTCATCTGGTGGGACAAACTCCAAATGCTCTATGACATTTTCATCCATTCAGGAAGTTGACAGATGTCCAGAATGAGGTTTGTCATCAATTGACATTTCACCTTTTTTGAAAGGAGAAGAACACTTATATACTTGAATTTTTCTCATAGCACTGTCCTTATAAGCTGTGTTTAACATCACAAGTTTCTGTGGCATTTTTCCCAAACAGGAAACAAAATTTCACAGCTGCACACTGTTCTCTTAAATCAGCCATCACAAAAACTGAGGTTAGAGTGAAACTGCTTTCATGGAAAAATTCACTTGACCAGAGAGTACCTTTCTAGGCAATGCCACTGGGTGCACTAACTCAGAGCGAGTTGCTCTGTGCTTGCCTAGCGGGAAAATGCATACTATGGAAGCTCCACTCTGCCCAGCGCAATTCTGGGGTTTTTTGGGTACCCCTTTGTAAATCATCCCTATAGAATAAGCGGTAATTCTATTGATCAAAAAGTTTAAAAACCAAACTCACTGCCATTGAGTCGATGCTAACTCATACTGACCCTATAGGACAGGCAGAACTAACTGCCCTGTGGGTTTCTGAGGCTGTAGGTAACTCTTTATCGGAGTAGAAAGTGAACTGGGTGGTGACTTCGAACTGCTGACCTTGCAGTTTGAAGCCCAACGCATAATCATTACATCAGCAGGGCTCCTTTTGATAGTATCATTGATTTATCATTGCTTAGACAAGCCAATATTAGATGGAAATGTTGAGAGCAGTTTTTTACCCCTTTTAAGTGGAAAATGTTGTCTTTCTCCATTATCTATAATGTTGGCTGTTGGCTTTTCATATATACCCTGAATCGTATTGAGAAATTTCTCTTCTAGCCCTAACTTCTTCTGGCTTCATTAACGTTTTCATCAAGACAGAGTATTGTTTTTATAAATTTCTATATTCATAAGGCTGATCATGTGGGTTTTTTCCTTTTATTGGCATATAAAGGTATATTATGTTGATTGATTTTCTAATGTTGAACCATTTCTGCACTCTTGGAATAAATCCCACTTGGATATGGTATACTTATAGTCATTGAGTTAATTCTGACTCAGAGTGAACCTATAGGACAGGGTAGAACTGCCCCTTTGGGTTTCCAAGGCTATAACTCTGTGGGAGTAGAAAACCTCATCTTTAATCCCAAGAAGTGGCTGGTGGTTTTGAACTGCCAACCTTATGGTTAGTAGCCCAAT